TCTGTCCAGCTGAAAACCTGGGATATAGTCGAGGTTGGGATACAATAGGGGGGGGATACAAATGAGGTATGACTGTATATTAAATTTACCTTGATAAACCGAATTTACTTATTGAAACCGAATTTCTTAGCACTTCCCGCTTATGTTCCCGACCTACTTCGGTTTAACGGGGTTTATTATGTACTTAGTTGCATAGTCTTTAGCTCATTGAACTGCTTTAGTTCTACAATTCATGCTTAGAATATAGAATGAGCCTTTGAAGTATAGTGTCTTTGTCTGTAATTTTTTTTCCCAATTCTCAGACTTTAGTGGTGGTCCTCATCCCATAAACGTTTAATGGGATTAAGATCAGGGTTGTTTATATCTGACATATCAAAGAACGTCATTGTCGGCTTGCTTGGATGAACAGAAGCATTGCGTTGCTGAAATTTATACTTACAATTTCCTCTTCAAGATCTTGCACAAATGGTATTAAATGTTTATTCAATATGTTTATATACCTTTGGCTGTTAATTGTTTCTTCAACTATGACCAAAAATTCCCATAAACAACCCCATACCATTACTCCTCCTTAACCATTGGAAGTCTTGAGTTCTGTCATCGTTTTGAAACAAAGCAAACCAAGATTCAAATTCTGCTGTTTCACTAAGATGCTTGAATTTTTTTTGGGCAAAAATGTAAGGAAGAGGAAGTAACAATTCGAATGCAACGTCTTAAATTGTAAATGTGTGCATTGGATCGTGATTACATATCTGCGAAATCATATATACCTCGCTTGAATAAACAATAAATTATAACACTATATCGTTTACATTTATCTAAGAATATATCGTTTAAAGTTTGCTAATAACGTAGATTATTACATTTTGAACATTTTTTCGTAATGCAAACTTAATATTAAAAGATTTACATATTAACGTTCACCAAAGTTTTACAGAAATGTAACTCAATACAAGGGCTAAAGTTTCATGGCATCTGAAAGTTTGGTTATGGAAAATTTTTGAGTGCCCACCGTATTTATTATTATAACTACTTTGTCAAATGTTAATATAGCACAAAATTCTTATATTTTCCCTTTCCTTTAAATATTCTTGGCATTATCTCTTTGAATATTTCATCTCTCCTGTTCTCATTTTATACAATTATCACCAGCATTTGAGAGCAACATCTCTGTTTTATCAGTTCTCAACGCAAGACTATATCATAGTTGCATATCTTGCTTACAAGTCCCGCGTCAACTAAGACGTAGCTGAATCCATTGGTCAACTCCACATTTATGCTCACTTCGCTAAACTGTCTGGTCAAACAAACAAATTATTGTGTTGCTGGTCTGATATTCCGGCATTCGTATCGACGGATAGAATCACTCTAACTTTCGTCTGATTTAATTCAGCCTCCTAATCAATTAGACTTAACGATGCACACGAACATAACTGAGATAAACCACAATAATAATCCTTAGTCGACAAGTATTAATGATAAGTTTTGGCGCGTCGTTCTAAAAGAATTATTTTTGATAACCGTCGACGATAATTTAATTGACTAACTGTAGTACTTTATTTAGTATTATATTCTCGTGAAACAATAATTTATTGTCAATGCCATTACAATGAACACCTACAACATCACAACAAACCTTTCAACGGTGGAATATAGCTAGACGAGCGCAATTTTTGAACCTGTCACGAACTTGGTGTTGTCAAGGCGCGAATTCATAATGCGTTTTTATGACAATGGTGTTTAGGATAGAGTTTATTTCACCGACAATCATTTCACCGATCCCAAGAATTCAAACTTACGTGTTATTATAGAACACTTCTCTGTTGATAAACTTTTTTCATGTGAATTGATATTTACCTTTTTTATGATGCACCATTGAGTTCATTTATTATGTAATACGGAACAAGGCGTCACCACAATTTAAGCTAACTGAGTGAAGAAATTTGGGCTCAAATTTACGCCTCTACGTTGCGCAGTTAAAAGACGACGATGTCCCTTGATTCGGGCGGGTAACACTGTAGTCTCGTTTATAGATTAATTGATGAATACTTATGTCGCACAAAATGGATTCTCCTACAAGCAAACCCGCTGCAATACTGGAATTTCTTCATTTTTGTGAGAATTTGAAGGTATATTTAAACTGATTAGGAAACTTCTCAATATGAACATTCGATTTATCTGAAATCATTAATAGAAAACGAAAAGGACAGGATGGATAGACTCGAAAATCAGTTTGCCCGAGAGTATTGCTGACCATATGCATAGAATGGCGGTCATTGCTTTGCTTCTTAACGACCCAAGTGTTGACAAGGATCGGTACGTTATTGCGTACAAGGAACCGTACTTTGCACCGACTTTTTTAATTGATCGATGTATATTTATTCTATCAATTTAGATGCGTAAAAATGGCTGTAGTTCATGATCTTGCTGAAAGTATTGTGGTGAGTATTCTCTATCAAGCGTATGATGCACAACAATTTTGAGTATAGTTATATACTTCGTAAGTCCAACGCTAATTTCTGGAACTGTCTTCTAAGGGCGATATTACACCACGGGACGGTATAACTAAGGAAGAAAAATCACGGCGAGAACAGGTAGCGCATAATAATTTTCAGTGTCGATGTTAATTCAGATCTATAGAGCGTTGTCAACACGCTTTTCAAATTTTGCAGGAAGCCATGCAAAAGTTGTGTAAAGATATTCTCGGCGAGACGCCTCAATCGCAAGAAATTTATGATCTCTGGACAGAATATGAAAGGGCAGAAACGAGAGAGGCCCTATTTGTCAAAGATTTAGATAAATTCGAGATGATCGTGCAAGCCTATGAATATGAAAGGTGTAAGTATTACACAAATATTAAAAACCAGACTTTGTCAACCTTTAGTCTTGAAGACTGTATACAGCGATAAGTGTTTATGTTGCTAATTTGATGTATTCATTATACTTGTCCTATCATCTTATTAATAATAGCGGAAAATTGCGATCTGAGCGAATTCTTTAAATCGACAGAAGGGAAGTTTACACACCCTCTCGTGAAATCATGGGTTGATGAACTTTATCGTAAACGTAACGAAACGCGAGCTGATTGACAAATTTGGATACGTAATGCCCAATTTGTTGAACGAATTTGTTTACTCGGTGTTAGCCGACGCAATCAGTTCGTGATGCATTCATTTTATAAAAAGAAAGACTATATTGCGCGATAATACTTTATTGTCAGGTAAATTTTTAGACAGTATCGACTGTTTCAACAGGACGTAAGACATGGATTAATTCTACGACTCGTACAAATTATTCTTGAACAATCAGATCATACGAAGTTTATTTATCAAGGATTGTACATGCATAATGTTTGTGCGAGTATCTTACGACATCGCTCATACAGATAAATGGCTTAGCTTATACTACAATGTGAATGAGAAGCGACATCGCTTCGATTGCACCGAACGAATAATGAATAATATAGGGGTGTCGACCAATATAAAGAATATCTGGTAAATTTATCTTACAATCATACCATTACCCTTGCAAATGGAGATCTTAGTCTCGTCCTTCGTATAAACTTATGTAAACATACCTATTATTACAAGTTAAGTCCGCTTGACATCAAATCATGATATAGCTTACTTATAGCTTTCGTTCCAACAGTTTTTCTCGTTCGAAAGTCCGGTCTTAAAACTCACCTAAAGTCTTTTCAAACTCCTCTTCTTGTCCACCTGCTTCTTTTCCAACTTCTTCCCTTCGGCTGCTCTCTTCCTTGGCGTCACTGTAATCGTACTGTCACCGGTA